CCCCTTAAGGTCCGTACAGACCGGATTTTCTATGTTTCAAATATTCGAAACCACTTAAGCAATTTTAACTATTTGGTCTGCATATCTTGTAAAATTTTTAACCGTTCACAGTTTTATTTGTTTTTAAAAACTGAAAATTCGCGTCGCGTTGCCGAATCGCGTTCGGTCTGTGTGGGCCTTTAAGCCCATTTTCCACTAGCCACCAGCGCGAACAGTAAAAAAGTAGGAACTGATTCAAATTTTTCGAGGCGAATTTTTTCGCTGACCAATCACATTGCCAAGATTTGTTTTTCGCTTCGCGCGAACAAATTCGCCTAGTGGAAAATGGGCAGTGGTTAGTGTATGTCTTTCGTAAGTTTGATTTCCACAAACAGTCCACAATATGCAGTTGTCTGATTGTAAACTCGCCTCAGTCACGTGTGAGAAGACCTTCCAGTTTGGTTCTTATACTAATAAAACTAGTAACTGTGATCTGTGAGTCTTTAATTCTGCCATCTTTCATACCAAGTGGAGATTTACATTCTAAATAACAAAATATTGGTATTATTATTTTAAGAATACGTTCACACAAAAGCGCATCAATTCAGGATTGTTCCATTCATTCACGGTTATTTATATTATAGTTACATGCATTTCATGTTTAAAACGTAAATACAGACATCTTATTGTCGTGTAAGGTTGAGCTCAAAGTAAAGTTTAAAACTTAGAATTTTAAACAGTTTAAAATTAAGAACAATATACTCCCGAAACGCTATAGCTTGTATATTGAAAACTACTGTGTTTTACAAAATATCTCAACTGGTAGCCGACAAACGATGAAACAGAAATTTGGAACTGACATCTTACGAGTATCTTACTAAGAAGTGATAATTGGTTGAAATTCTAAATGAAAATTCATATCCAAACACACTCATTTCTTTATCAATTTTTGGTAACAAGCGCTATCATCCTGCACTCGTTTCGTGTTGTCCAGCTCTGTGTAGCCAGGGGGTGTTTTTATCTTCCCAACCTCTTCATAGGATGATTCTGCTTCAGTATGAGCAGGTATCACATAATCTGAGTCGCGTTTTAACAATTTCTGGTAGGTAGCATCATTTGTTGTTTCGTCTTGTCGGTTTCTGTTAAGCTCGGCGTAAACAGAAGATGGCGAGCCATCTGCTGGGATAACATAACCCGAGTCAGTTTGGCGTTTTAACAATTTCTGGTGGGTACCATCATTTGTTGTTTCGATTTGTCGGTTTCTGTCAGGCTCAGCGTAAACAGAAGATGGCGAGATTTGGACTTCTTCGTACGGTTCTGTTTCATCATCTGCTGGACTATAATCTGGTTCCTGTATC